TGCATGCTGGGTTTTCCCATTGGAACTGAATTAACATCAGGTGATGATCACTGATCCCACTTAAAACTACAGTAAAGCAAATGAAAGGACGGAGTTTGAAATATGTAGGTGGATATTGTGCTTAAATGGTAAAAAGAAACTGTCTGACTGTTACATTATCTCGCTTAAGGCTCAACTCACCAAATAAATATACATGGCCATGGAATATGTGTTATTGGATATTAAATTATTTTATCATCTTACTTGTATATTATATTAACCCTGTAAAGCCTGACATGTGAAATAATGGTTCATATAGTATGATCAAATAGCTCATACTCGAGGAGGAGAAAAAAAAATATTTTAGTTTTAGTTTTATCCAGAGGCCCAAAGCAAAAATATAAAATTTGGTTCAGTTGCTGATATTTATAAGGCCAAAAAGTAAGATGAAATTCTGATAGTTTGCATTGTAAATCAATGAGATCTTCATAACAGTACAGAAGACTACTTACATATACATATCAGTTGTCACTCTATATCTCTCAGTAATGTGTCTTAGTGAGATTATATTTAAATGTTTAGTTTTAGGTTCAAAGCACTAGAGTTTTAAACGTGGGGAGCAAAACTTATAATGCAATGCAGTGCAATACAATGATGATACAACAGTTATTTCAGCAAAGTTTTAATCAATATAGAGGTCTTAGAAATGTGTTTATCAAATAGGCTATGATACAGAAGGCGTAGGTCAAAACTTCCGCTAAAAAACAGTTAACTACAACTAAAAGATTGACCGTTAGCAATACAACAAACACTACAACAGTATTAAAATAATTCTAAAATAAGTCATTTTCACTATAATCGAGATGCAAGATGGAGGGAGCGAACCTATAGTGTTATATAAGTAGGCCTATCATAAAAAAAGTATAGCGCCGGTTTAACTTACCCGGGTGAGCGGATTAGTGTTTCAAATATAAGGAAATATAAGGACTGACTGACCAAATAGAATCAAGTAGGCCTATTCCAGAAAGCTGTGTAACAATGAACAAAAGCAGAAAGAGCGGAGGATAACATTATGTGGAAATACTTTATTAAATAAAATCATTAAACACAAAGAACGGCTCAGGAGAGTTAATGAATTCTGGAAATCTGTAAAGCATTTTCCGTTCTGCGTGGGAGGTTCCATGTGGATCTGCTCAAAAAGTTCCAAAAAGAATAATCAGACATAGCAGGAGTCATTTAACATACTGCCGCTCAGCCATTTAAATAATAATAATTTGTTAAAGGCAATAATATGTTTTTAGCTAAATGTGTCTTCACATCAAAGCTTTTCTAGAAGTCTTTTTAAAAGCTATGGAAAGTTTTACACTATACTTATCTTAGAACATGTAATTATAACATGTCCAGTACTAAAATGCCCTTCTTATCACAACATCCAAAAATTAATAATAGTTAGATCATATCATCCTCCTACTCTTAAAGGGGTAGTTCACCCAAAAATGAAAATGTTGTCATTACTTACTCACCCTCATGTTTATCCAAACCTTTCTTTCTTCTGTTTAACACAAAAAAAAAATATTTTGAAGAATGTTGGTAACCAGACAGTTGACGATAGCCATTGACTTTCATAGTGGGAAAAAAATACTAGGCTATAGAAGTCAATGGGTGCTGCCAACATTCTTTAAAATATATTTGTTTGTGCTCAACAGAATAAAGAAACTCATACAGGTTTGGAACAACATGAGGGTGAGTAAGTGATGACAGAAGTTTCATTTATGGGTGAACTATCCCTTTACGTTTATAGCCTGCTTAAGGTCCGGTCAGCCTAACAGACTTTAACAGGAAGCCACATTGAAGCACAGACCGAGTGCTGGGCTTGGAGACCCGGCCCAGGAGACCCCCTGTTTGTTGTCACAGCTGAGCTCTACGCTGTTGAGGCAGTCAAGCGGAGACCCCGAGGACCACCACACCACAGAGAAAATGGCCTCTTAGTTTGACAATAACTCCTTCTCTCTGTGCAAACCCCCACCGCAAGCTCTCTAAATCTAGTCCGACCTTTTGGTAGGTGGGATGTTTTCACTCCAGGCTGAGAGAGAGCAGCTGATGTCTGCTCCGAGGATGGAGTTTGGGAGCATGGTTTATGAAACGGGGTCAGGGCTAAGAACAAGGACTCTTGTGTGTTATAAAAACTCTTGCCATTTATCACTGCAGACAATCTCTGGACGGGAAACATAGCATATATATAGCTGCACTGACATCTATTTCATATTTTCCCCCTTTCTTTTGGAAACCTTTTTGAGCCACAGAATACGCAATATACACTCTTAAAAATAACGGTTCTTTAGTGGCAGCTATGGATCCATGAATATCCTTTAACATCAATGTTCAAAAGGTTATTTATAGATCATAAGAATTTTATTTTAAAGGAGAACTCTGGTCAATTTTAACATTGAGCTCATTTTTTTGAACATTTGGAGTGCTGTCAGTACAGACAAAAGTGACAAAAATCGGTGTTGCCTACACCGTGTTATCCTCTTTTTAAAATTCGCACCCTGTTGACTTCAATGGGGCAAGTTCTAAACCTGCTTTTAGCCTCTTAACATCCTTGATTTGTCATTACAAGTGCACAGCCATGTGAGTGGTGTTATTAAGAGTGACCACGGTCAATCTGACTGCAGTAGATGTGAAAGATATCAATAAAAATGATGTTAATTCAGCCAGCTCACATACCTGTATTTACTTCCTGTTTTCGTTCGAAGTCCACAGTAGTCGATTGTCGAGTTCGCGCGCGCGATCATTAGTTATATTAGTCATAGACAGTATAAGAAGTGGACAGAGCCATCTCATTGGAACTCAGTTGAGACAGTTGAAGCCCATTTTTAGCGATTTTTGAGCACTTCCGTTCCTGACGCGCAGACTCAAACCGACTCAAACTAAGCTTGATGACGTGAGCAACCTGTCTGACAGACGTTAATCTTCTAGTAGCTGTGCGTGAAAATTGCCAACGTTAATCTTGCAGAGACGGGGAACTTGAGCAAAGAGTTCTTTGGCGTGAGTGAGCAGGAGTAAGTATTCCGTTGCTTTTATGGACTCATTATCTATGGGCTTCTCTCTTGACGGGACGTCCCCCCGATTGCCTGCGAGCTTCTCCTCCTGTCTGTACGGTAATTTCTGTACAGCGCGACAGAGAGTCGAGTGGTTATGACGCAATCGTTAGCCTATTTTTACTAAATCTGTTTTCTACGGGGCCATAATGTAACATAGAAGGTAATTGAGCCCTTTATACATTGTCGTGTTTCTTTAGAAATAAATAATGGACAAATGGAGTCTTTAAACGCCTCAGATGTAAAGTTATTCGCTGTCAAAGTGACGCCAAAATGAATGGGAGTCAACGGAAATGCTAACGCAAGTGAAGTTCTGCTACAACATGGCGGCACCCGGCCGGCTTCAACTTCCGGTCGATGGATTACCCCCTTGATATTAGTTACCAATGATCGCGCGCGCGAACTCGACAATCGACTACTGTGGACTTCGAACGAAAACAGGAAGTAAATACAGGTATGTGAGCTGGCTGAATTAACATCATTTTTATTGATATCTTTCACATCTACTGCAGTCAGATTGACCGTGGTCACTCTTAATAACACCACTCACATGGCTGTCCACTTGTAATGACACATTAAGGTTGTTAAGAGGCTAAAAGCAGGTTTAGAACTTGCCCCATTGAAGTCAACAGGGTGCGAATTTTAAAAAGAGGATAACACGGTGTAGGCAACACCGATTTTTGTCACTTTTGTCTGTACTGACAGCACTCCAAATGTACAAAAAAATGAGCTCAATGTTAAAATTGACCGGAGTTCTCCTTTAAGAACTACTGAAAGGTTCTTTGAGAACCCAAAATGGTTATTCGGCATCGCTGTGAAACCCCCTATTTGGAACCTTTATTTTTAAGAGTGTGAGGTTAGGGCTTTACAGTAAAGTTCAATTGGTGAACATTAGTTAATGCATTAGATATGGTGAGCTAACAATGAATAACAAAATAGATTCATACTAATTTATAAACATGTTAGTGTTCATTGTTAATTCATGTTCGTTCAAAATACTTTAATACCCTTTGACATGTCAAATGAGTTAGTTTATGTAGAAATTAACATTAATAACAAATGATGGGTACGATGACATAGTTACACTTGTTACTTGTACTTACTTTTGTAGTAACAGTAAATTACGCATAATTACAAGTAACTAACCCCAAACCAAACCCTAACATTAACCCTACAGTATGTATGTTAATTAATATTACCATATTACTCAGTACTCATTTGTGTAATTACATTGTAACAATGCCTCAAAATAAAGTGTAATCAAATGCTGTTGTTCATTGTCAGTTCATTACACCTATGAATTGAACACTAGTATTGTACAGTGTTACCAGTGTAAGAATATAAACTACATAGCCTAAGTAAAAGGAGTTAACATGGACTGGTAAAGCATGGATCTAGCAAATGACAAGGTCAAAGATTTAAATCCTAGTGATCACACATTCTGATAAAATCTCTGAATGCAATGCCGCTTTAGATATATTTCAAATGCTTAAGTATAAAAGCATAAACATGGAAATCAACCATTTTCTTGCAAAGCATCATCATGCATGAGACTGCAGTGTGTTCTTGAGTATGGGAGGGTGCTGTAAGATTGCAAGTAGCGCAATACATGGATTTATGGTTGTTAGCAAGCGGCAGATTTCCTCCTATTGTTATGGGGTGTTGATACTGTCAAGGGAGAGGAGGGAGCGAGAGAGAGGGGGAGTGGGAACTGAGAGGGTGGGGAGAGAGACATACTGGTGAGGATACCGGCTGGTTTGGACAGAGAGAGAGAGAGAGAGAGAGAGAGAGAGAGAGAGAGAGAGAGAGAGAGAGAGAGAGAGAGAGAGAGAGAGAGAGAGAGAGAGAGAGAGAGAGAGAGAGAGAGAGAGAGAGAGAGAGAGAGAGAGAGAGAGAGAGAGAGAGAGAGAGAGAGAGAGAGAGAGAGAGAGAGAGAAGGAAAGAGGGGTGGGGAGTTTCCAGGATTGTTTAAGGCTAGTTTTAAAACTGCCATCCGGAGGAACACTTTCAGTACCTCTGGAAAGCAAGATGGCCCAGACTGTGCCTCTGCTGCTGTTGGCTGTGCTGAACTCTCTGAGCTGCCACAGTGAAGTGAGGGCCAGGGACCCTGATGTGGAGGAAGAGGAGGCTGTTGGGATTGGAGGAAGAACACATCATACGCCTGTCACCTTTGGGATGCCACATGGACATCACAGCATCTCAGTGCCTCCAGCTGGCTCAAAAGAGACTATACATCTACCTGCAAAAAGAGGGTGAGTCAAATGGGCATTTTTAAAACTATAACTATACATAAAATTTTGTGTGAATGGACCTTAGTCAAAATATTTAATTTGACGTCAATTATACAGAGGATATTTGTTTGTTTAATAAGATACTGTCTAAAGGTCTTAGGTCATCTCTTATTTTTCATATAACCCTTGTTTCACACTAGTCAGAAGTCTGGACATGCCTTTTTATGATTAATACTATTACAAATCAAAAAAGTTAAATAAATTAAATGAAAGTAGACATTGTTTAGTGACCAAAAAAACAACAACTATCAACTATCCAAATCAAAGTAGCCAAGAGTCACAACTCTAATCATTCTCTCGGCTTATGAGGTGCATCATGGGATGTTTTTCCTCTTATTGGCTGCTTTTCCTTCTCTATCTGGCCCAACTATTCATTTCATTTCATAAAATAAAAAACTTTTATTTTTATTAAAATATGTTTTAAATTACAAAATAATGGTAGGCTAATGATTGTAATAAAATGTAATAATTAAATGTAATAAGTTACTTTAAAATTTTGTGTTGTAATTCCTTCATACAAATCTTGTTGTCTATAAAACTAATTTTAAGCATTTAAGCATAAACCTTTAAGATCATGGGAAACAAATTCAAGTCAAGTGTGTCCAAACCTTTGACTGGTATATACTTTCTCTGGAATTTATTTATTTGCTAAACGATCAACACTATAATATACAATAGTACAACCCACTGAACAGACTAGACTGTACATGTATCCCACACAGCCTTGTTTTAATATCATATTAAGTCCTTTGCATTCTCCCTCTGTTCTGAGAAAGAAAAAGCGAATGAATTTGCCCGAGAGGCTTAATTACAGTAATCTTACAATGAAGATACAAGTCAGGGCTTCAGTGATCTGGGAAGGTATTATGGAGTGACTGAGTTCCATTGTGATATCCAATATATACATATGTATAGGAGCCGTAGAAGTTAGCCGTCCACTTCTATAGTCAGCTCAGTCTTACACGTGTTAGCTGATATTTCAGCCTTGAAAACACACACAGTAGCTCTCTCCTGATTTCTTGAGGATGAGAGGAATTCGACCGGACTGGGCATGCTCACTACAGCTTAACAGCGAGGCAGAGGACAGGCACCCCTACAGCAGTTTTCAAGGGCATTTGTTTTTAGTCTGGACCAGAACAAAAGAATATGAGAACCAGATGTGTCCAGAAAAGACGAGGAGTGCTAATCAAAAGTGTTTAGGTGTTTAAAGAAAAATAAAAGAGAGATAAAAAGAGGGGTGAAGATGAAAGAAAGGTGGACTGATGAAGGATGTTCAGATGTGGGTACGAGACAGATTAACGATAAAACCATAAAGCGGCAGACAGGGCTAGAATTCAGCCAAACTATGACTGAATCAGTGGCTGAATAGGGGCTGATGTTTTACTGGACAAAGGGTCTATGGTTCAAGGTGTCAAAGAAAGGAAACAGGACAGCCCACTTATATCTAATCTCTTTGTTTCTGAAACCAACACTGAAACGGATGCACAAAGGAAGGTCAGTTGAAAAAGCACAAGCAATGGGCCGTACATACAAGATGTGTTTTTGCATTTAAAAACAACTAACAGAATGGACATGTTATAAAATTTGAACTGTTTTTACCTTGACCCATAATGGCCCATATACCCTTCATATATGGGCCATTCACACAGGATGCATTGTGTCCATCTGTACTCTTTTTTTAAATGTGTATATACACAAACATGCATCTTACAGACATCTTTAACATTTGCAACACACTTAGCAGCTATGCTTCCTTTCAAAGCTGTGAATTTAACTTGTGCACAATATAACAAAATAATAAAACAAAATTGTCACTTTCTGGGAAATTGGCACAAAATATCTGTAATAAAAATGGTAGTTGCTGCAATTGGTGAAGCTACTGAGGCTCTTTTTCATACATTATAAACGACTTGCGCCTCAGAACGTGCATGCAATAAACGCTGTCATGTTATCCTACGTTCGGACACAGATGCCTGGTGTTTGGGAACGCAATCGTGTGAGACAGTTCTGGGACTGGGAGGTAATTATACCCAACCATTTTCATGACTGAGTTTGTCTCAGTCATTTCAGAATGACCAAACCAACATTTAAGATGATATGCAATGAAATTGGAACTGGTTAGTCCAGTTTTTTTTTTTTTTCGGACCACATGATCTGTTGAGCCAAAGTCACATTACTTTTTATTTATTTTTTTGCGCATCAAGGGTTTTATTCAGTAAATGTGTTTCCATTGTATCTTATGTGTATGCCTTCTTACGGATAAACAAACACATCTGCGCAAGTTTGTTTATGCTCATTTTTAGAAGGTATTTCCATCCAGCATTTTTATACAATATCTCAATATTTGCATAAAAATAGGTGGATGGAAACATTGCTAGTGTTGTATTAAAAGGCAGAACAATGCATCACGTGTCCCATAAACACAATATGGATGCAAGAACACATCCCATGTGAACAGTCCCTAAGAAATGCCTCCAAGTAATTTGAAGGGAATAAACTGTGTTTTATAAGCTTTATAAGCTGCATCTTTAAAACAACAGACAGCATAAAGAAAAATAACTGACAGTGGAAATCTTTTATATCAGCTCTTATATTATTCATAATGAGAACAGCACTCTGAACGCCACATTTTTAAACATGCGTTTCAGTATTCGACAGGATGCAACTCCTGTAATATTGCAAACTAGGTCATTTTTGCAGAATACAATTTACTGTAGGCTATGTTTACGAAATACTACACCACAGAAAAACACAGACTTGTCAAAATAAGATTGAGCATGTGTAAACATCGTAATCAATGTGTGCATATCAGATTCTCTCTGATACAACAGAAAGCTAAAAACAAACATAATGAACGAGCCAATAGAACGACATATAAAACCTTTTGCTCTGCGATAATATCTTGCCTTGAGCTTGTTGGGAAGGGTACAACAGGAGGGGTTTAAAAGCATATATCTTCATCAGTCTGTGATTGCATGTATAATCTCTGCTCTCAACTTTCACTTTTCCCTCGTTTTTTTGTTCTGTTTTATCCTTCCAAACGTCCTCTCTCTGGTCAGGAACTGGTGTGCGTATGTAAATCACCGTGTGGTCACCACAGCCGTACTCTGCACAGAGACTCAAACATTGAAATCAGTGAACCCCTGTCCCGATGGAGCTCCTGACTGTCAAATCATCACGTGAGTCACCTCATAAACTCAAACAACCTCAGATCTTACGTTTCTCAAAAATATGCTTTGCTTTATTGTTGATTGATGATGATGGTGATGATGATCAGGTATAGGCAGTCCTCACGGCCTGTGTACAAGCAGAAGCAGACAGCACTCTCTTCTATGCACTGGAGGTGTTGCCCAGGCTATGGAGGACACAACTGCCTGGAAAAAGGCAACATACAATCTCCAGGAAGAGGTCTGGATACAATCCTTTTTACTCAACAAAGCATTTGCATATCTAAAATATGTTAGGAGTATGCATGTTGCTCTTCCGCCAATTTAAAGGAACAAATCAGTTGAGCTGCCCATCCAGTTTTGGTGACTCATCTGTTGCTCCCTCTTTATCTTTCTTTTCCAGACAAACCTCCAGAGGATGAGAAGCATGCTTCAAAGTCTGAGGTTAATGACGATGACAACTTAGGCAAGTTTGTTGTTTTGGGCAAGGCTGGCTTTAACTGGCTTGACCTTTCATACCTTTCCTTTTTCTGCAAGCTTGCTTCTTTAAAACAACCTTTCTGACAAACAGAGGAAATATCTAGCAGGCGCCTGGCTCAGTGAGTGTCCTTCAACAGGAAAGGAGAGTCAGCTGGCACTCGGGATAGCTGTAGAAGCAGTGCCTTATGCCAGCAGGCAAAAGCAACAATCATATTTAAGAAGAATAACAACATCTTAAAGTTGTTTTCCAAATTTCCAAAATGTCCAGTAGGCGAATATTTTGATGGCAGAAATTTTTCCCAGACTGTTGAAAGAAGCCATCCTATGTGCCCTCATGCCTTAAAATTGATCCTGTAAGCCCCTCATCCATCTTGCAGTTTGACAAATCACATTTGAAAGAAGTCTTTGGCACCAGCAAAAGCAGCAGCCATATCACCCTGTAGCCCAAGACTGGTTGCCCACTAAAGCTAAGCAGGGCTGAGCCTGGTTAGTACCTGGATGGGAGACCTTCTGAGAAAACCAGGTTGCTGCTGGAAGAGGTGTTAGTGAGGCCAGCAGGGGGCGCTCACCCTGTGGTCTGTGTGGGTCCTAACGCCCCAGTATAGTGACGGGGACACTATACTGTCAAAGAGCACCGTCCTTCGGATGAGACGTTAAACCGAGGTCCTGACTCTCTGTGGTCATTAAAAATCCCAGGATGTCTTTCGAAAGAGTAGGGGTGTAACCCCGGCATCCTGGCCAAATTTGCCCAGTGGCCTCTGTCCATCATGGCCTCCTAATCATCCCCATGTATATATATACCAATTGGCTTCATCACTCTGTCTCCTCTCCACCAGTAAGCTGGTGTGTGGTGGGCGTTCTGGCGCAATATGGCTGCCGTCGCATCATCCAGGTGGATGCTGCACATTGGTGGTGGTTGAGGAGATTTCCCCTTCTATGTGAAGCGCTTTGAGTGTCCAGAAAAGTGCTATATAAATGTGATGAATTATTATTATTATTATTATTATTTGGCAGTTCTTTAAAATCTAAAGTCATTGGGTCTCATTCATGAAACATTCGTAAATATACGAGAGTGATTTGCGCGTAAAGAGACCTTCCCGAAAACTCATCTCCTGATTCACAAATACTTCGAAAACGTCAGATGCGATAGTGAAATGTGTGTGTGTGTTAAAGTCCCCATGAACCGGAAGTTGCAAACGACTTTTGTCCAGTGTTGTGACGTATTTCCGAGAGAAACGGAATACTAAATGAGGCAAAATGGTGGGCGTGGCTTTTTCCCCAACTAGCACCTGATTGGATCTAGAAAAGTAGGTGTTTTCATTCAGCCTGTCTACTGTCAGTTGGAGGGGCGTGATTACAGATGTTAAGAAGACGCCCAAACCGTGAAACCTACGTCATCAGGCAAGGTCCTCCAACGCTGAGGGGAGGGGAAATTTCAGATTTTGATTAAAGATTACGAAGCCAAAAAAATTTTTTTGTGTGGATTGACTTGCATGGATGAATTGTTCACCACAAAACGATCAATTTAGGCAAACAAAGTAAGTATGGTCAATTTTGAATTCATGGGGACTTTAATGAATTCCAATCAGTCGTAAATGGGACGCGCGTGCACGCTCATTCTCAATTACCATAAATACCGCCCATTAAATCTGACTGACAACTATATATGGGCATCATATTATGACACCAAACGAAGGATTTCAACATGTCTTCTCAAAAGCGAATGAAAAAGAAAAATTTCTCAGATGCAGAAATCGAAGTTTTATTATCAGAAGTTCATTCAAAACACCACATTTTATTTTCAAGCGTAGGCTACATGGCGTATCAGGTCCTAAAAAAAGGAAGCTTGGCACCATATTACAGATGCAGTTAATGGAGTTTCATCTGTTAATCAAACAGTCCCAAAAGTAAAAAGAAAAACCGTATGTAATTACTGTTTATGATATTTTTTTCAAAATGCTGTGTAAATATGTACCCGATTAAGGTGAATTAAAATGCAGCCTTAGTTATTAATGAGCAAAACGTTCGGATGTTAAACTCACTATTTACGCGTGGCTGGGAGCAGGTGTAGATTTCTTTCGTACCAACTAATATTTGGAAAATACCAACATTTGAATGAATCCGAAAATGTACGCCAGAACCTCTTTACTCACGATTTACACAAAAATTCGTTCTGCTCGTGTTTCATGAATGAGACCCATTGTGTTTATGAAAGTCTCATGTGTGCCAAATACTTAAACCTGGTATAATGAAATAGAAAAGGATTATTCTTAGTAAAAATAATATTTAGTTTCATAATATTATGTAATATTGGGTCATTAAATGTAACTTTTGGTGGAGTATTTTAAGCATGTTAAATGCTTAAGGGCTATAATAACCCCTCTAAACTGAGCATATGCGTGGGCCCAATATTTACCCTCAGACTCACAATGTTGTGGTTAACTTATTTCCCACATCCTCCCTCTAAACATTTTTTTTTGTGTATTTTTCTGTAGAAGGTCAAATGGAAACAGACCTATTGGAAGATGCAAGCTGGTCTAACAAACATCTACAGGAGGCTCCCATTCATGGTTCTTCACCAAACCAGAGCCCTGTTGGTAAGACACGGAATCTGTGCCCAGCAAACCTAAGCACACAGGAAAACATTTAGATTGACACATTACAGTATAGGCATACTGTGAGATTTTACCACCCTAAATTTAATGGCATGACTACATAAACAATGACGTCTTCCTCTGGAGGATATCCTCTCTTTCTTATAAACAAACTCCACCGTGACGTAATCACCCAGAGATGTAGGCAGAAGGAAGGAGATTAAGAAAGAAGGGCAAAAAGTAATCACTGAACCACATGAGTCATTGAATAGCTGCTTGAAAGGGGGTTTATATCTTCATATATCTAGCCAATGAGCTCATATTGTTTAAATGCAATAACAGCCTATAAAGGAACATCCATCAAAAATGCAGAAGTTGTACTTATTCAGATATTCAGTAACATAGTGAGATGTGTTTGTGTAGGAGGCTTGTAAGGAAAGGGTTATTCCTGATGAAAACATCATAAAAGCTCATGTAGAGACCATCACATGTCAGGCACATTGATATACTCAAGGGACGAATCAATATGCTGATATAGACAAATATATCTTAATTGCATATTTAATAGGTCACACAAGTAACAAATAGAGTTATTTCACCATTTTCCCTTGTTAATATCTAAAAAATATTATTAATAATAATAATAAAAAAATCAGTATTTCTCCAATATTAGAGGCTTGTTAACGATATTCCAGGTGCCAAAGAACAGATCCCTACCTCTCCGCCTCTGCAATTCCTTGATTCATCAATTCTGCTGTCAATGCATCAGTTAATGTCAACTATGATGAGTCAGCTTCAACCAGTGCTGGAAAGCTTCAATCAAACACTGGAGCATCTGTCCAGTGAGATGGACACACTGTCTCGGGACTTGCAGCAGTTGCGGATGGAACAGGAAGACAGCAGATCCTTCAGCAGAGGTGAAGGTCATAGTGGATCTATTGAGCAGAGACTAGAGTACAGCCATCTTCAGGTCGACCAAATGAAAACCCAACTGGACGCACAGAAAGACCAGATGGAGAGGGCCTTTCAGAGCCAACAAGAACTGCTGAAACACAACCTAACAAAACTGAAGGAAGAGATGGATGATCAGATCAGCCAGAGTCAGGATGCACAGGTCATTAATTCACTCGGACTCCTTAAGTGACTACTAAATCTTAACAAATCAAAACAGTGCATAAATAATTTTGTGTTATTCCAACAGGTGAATCTCCATTCTCTAACTAAATTGGTTGAGGAGGTGAGACTTGGCCAAAAAAGGCTGGAACGGGCACTGCAGAGAGAGCACGCTGAGTTTGTCAATCAAAGTGGAGGCCAGCCAACACAGGCGTCAGGAGTGTGGGAGGCCATCACTCGGCTAGATGAGAAGGCACAACGTAACTCTGTGCAGCTCAGCAGCTTGTCTGACACTTTAAAAGATTCTGCTAGAAAGATCAATGATCTGCAGAGAGACCTATTGATCCTGGGACAGAGCCTAGGGGAGGTCAAACAACGCACTGAGGTCCACTTTGTGGAGACAGGTCTGGAGGTGGAGGCTACTCGCGTAAGGGTGCTCAACAGCATTGGGGAACTTACAGCTAACGTAAGTGCACAAGAGGGCCAGTTGAGAGAAATTGAGCTTGACCTGGACAACATCTATCATCAACTACAAAGAAATGATTCGGTAATTGCAGAGCAGGTCTGTAGCTGCAAATCTATGGGAAGTTCACTAGCTAGGTTGGAGCTGGAGGTGGCTAACGTGACACATTTAACAAGACAGAACCGACTTGCACTTGAGGAGGCAAATCTAGAAAGGAATCAGGCCACTCAAATGGAGGATCTTCATCAGGGCCTGCTGAATATGAAGGAATCATTGGCATTTGAGCAGAGCAAAAGCAGGAGTCTTCATGACAGTATTTCCCAGCTACAGGCTTCACTCCTGGACAGCCAGCAAGAGATACAAGGCCTGAGAGAGCGGGACGAGGACAAGTCGGCTGAAATTCGAGGCCTATCAGCCACCTTCTCTTCCCTCCTGAATGATGCTGTACGCCACTCTGAAGTCCTGGAAGTGCTACTCGGAGAAGAGGTCTTGGAATTCACACGCTGGTCACATAGCCAAAAGAAAGAGCTCAGTATCCCAGATCTTTTACAGAGAATGCATGTGATGCAGCAAAAGATTGAGACACATGATAGGAGTCTGAATTCTATTCGGAGAAAGCATCCTGACGGAGATGAGATGAATAGCGATGACCCGGTGGCATACTCAGAGGGGACCGCCACAAAGAACCAGGTGAAGGGCACTGAAAGTTACCAGTCCTCATTAGACCCTTTGACTGGAGAGGAGGATGTGGATTACTCGGTCAGTGACTTCTGGAGTCTAGGAAAAGAGGTGGAGCAATTAGCAGGTAGAATAACCATGTTGGAAGAGCGCTGTGGCAACTGTACTGAGCCCCCTGGTGGCTCTGTTGTGGAACTGCAGGCAGATATAGCATACCTACGTCAGAGCCTAGAGGATCATTTGGGAATGTTTCAAAAACTGTTCAGTAATACAGAAGAACTAGCCAGCTCGACCAGAAGCCTGAACCTATATGAAGTTTGGAGGCTGGTGAGAAAGAAAGAAGAAAAGAAAAGGAGGGGGCACAAAAAGCAAGAAGACCAGGAGAAAAGAGAAGAAAAGTCTTCCAGTGAGCGACGCAAAAGATACAGTGAAACAGGTAAGAGATCTTATTAATACAGTTTTTTTTTCATTTTCCATTAGTTTTAAACATGAATGAAGAAGATATTTGGTACTGAAAGGCCTGCGTAGTGCACACACAACAACACTGCCTCTAAATGGACAACACTAAAACTACATCATGACAAAGCAGTTTTTCTGTTACTTAAAAGTATAAATTTTTACCTAAACAAATCATCAAAATAACTTTATCTCTTTAGAAAATGCTCGGTTACCACATCCCCCCGTGGTGTTCATCACAAGCCTGGACTACAGAATAGGGCCAAATGGGGAGCTCGCATCAAAAAATGTTGCTGTGAACTACGGTGGTACTTTTAATCCTACATCAGGGGTGTTCCAGGCCCCTGAGACGGGACTCTATCTCTTTTTGGTGACCTTAGACTTTGAGAGAGGCCTTTCATTGGCTGTACTGAAGCGCAGTGGAGTTACAGTGGCGTCCCTCAGACAGGAACAAGGGGAAAAGAGGGGACCAGTGAGCCGAGCCTCTCTGCTGGAGCTTCGGCGAGGGGAGGCGGTTACATTAGAATTGATGCATGGATCATTACGAAAAGCGCAGCCTGGGGATAACAAACTGTCTGGACTATTGCTCTTCATTACAGAGCACAAGGACATGCTGTGAAAAGAACTGGGTGAGCGACAAAGGCATGGGAGTATACATTCAAGTCTGACGCACTGTGCGTCACTGCCAGACATGCTGTAATTTGTATGCATGCATCCTCTTCTTGAAGGTGCAAAAATACTTGTTTAAATATTATGTTTTGTAATTGGTTCTGGAATATTACTGAAAAAAACAGGTAAGAAATAAGGGGAAGACAGTTATATACCAGAACAATTTAGATACCACCAGACCTTCTGTTGGTCTTCAAAATGTGGAGGATCTAATAATAAGGCATAGTATGGGAACCAGTTACTATGAGGCGATATGAATAAACAAAAGGTACCAATAGTGAGGGTAATTCTGTACATCCAAAAATTCATGCATTCAAATGATCACATTCAATGCAAATGTCAATCAAGAAGGAGGAAAAAAACATGACTGTGTACTAAAATAAGGTAATTTACTTAAAAATGGATACATTGTGACTAATTCTGTGTACAGAACAGCTTTTCTTGGTAAACATAAGGCATCTCTCTTAAAACCAGATACTGTGCACAATACAGTTAAAAAAAGGTTCATATTATTCAGGCCACATATTTCCTTACACATTAAACAATTAGGACAAAAAAAATTGTGTCATTTATCTAGACAGATAAGCTTAAATCAGTTCAAATGTGATTTAACAGGTTAACTTGTATGATTGTAATGGACAGAATAGGCTTGAGCACAAAGCTGCAGCCCGAACAATGAGAAAAGACACGCATAAGCAATGTGAGATCTGAATCTTCAATGCAAAAGTTTTTGTACCAGTCTCTCTCCTTCCTTGTACCTTTGTAGAAATGCAGATGTGGAATGAGATCTTCATTAATTATATTTCCCAGACAGCTATTAATCACTGTTATAAATACACCCCCATGATATAACCTGATCTTCAAGAAATGGCCAACTTGTTTTAGAGGCCCTGGTTTTGACGTTAAACCTGAATTCCCCACAAGTGCTAATAATGCATTGCATGATTCAAATTATTGACTAAGCTCTTTTGCAAAAAAAAAAAAAAAAAAAAAAATGTGTTCACATAATCTCATAAGTTATGGGGGGAAAAAAATGTTCATGTATATGAAAGGTGAACTTAAGTCGCCTGTCCTGACTTTTGAGTAAATTATAGATAAAGGTCTAGTTTTACACATTAGAACTATGACAAATGATAATTCACACCCACACTTTCATAGGAAGTCATTAAATGTAGAATTTCATTTTAAAGTCATAAATTTACTATTACTAGTATTTGTAAGGTTGAGCTGCTCAGTAAAAACATTGAGAATGTCATTTGCAAGAACAGTGTTAATAGTCCTGCAAGTAAAAGTATCTTACCACAATAATTCATACTACATGACATGACATGAATAAATAGCACATGCATTTACATTATTCAATCACATTAGACATTTATGAGTCATATGATTTCCAAGCGTCACAACATTAGATTCGAGGCAAAACAGTTCAAATGAGGCATTGAAAACAGCAATCCAATCTGACACTGAAAAAATTCAGATGTGATATACTGAGGTTGACTTGAAGGCTATAGGATAAAACAAAACAACGGTTATGAGGCATTCAGGAGCAGTAGGCATCCATTTGCACCGACACGTCTGCGATGAGGCAGATCAGATCTGCCATTCTGGGTGATTGAAAGTCACCATATCTTCTAGATTGAATAGATTTTTTTTTATGGCTGCAGTGTTGGCAATATTTGACTGGTGGTACTTCAATTCTTCATGCCAGAGCTGGAGTTATGATCACATTACTCATTATACCTGAACCTTCTATTTATAACAACAAATCCATTCCAGGTCTTTGCAAAAGTAAAAACCCTATCGCTAACACCCAGTTTTGTATTTGAACATCTAATGGACAGATTCTTAGAAAGGAAAGCAGTCGAAGGAATAATTCTTCAAAAAGGCTATTAATTAAAATATTAATATATAGTTAACGGGACATTTTCTTTTATACATATATATGACAATATGGGTCATTTGAATTAAATAGGGCACGGTGGCCACAACTGCACATGGTCCAAATGCAGAGTGACCATTTTGACACTAGCCATACTGGAGCACATCCCAAGCATATGGCTGGTTCGGTCCAAATATCACCCCAAATATGTCCACCTCTCAAGTCAGTCAATAACAGAGCCTCAAGCCTTCTCCCAAATGGCTCCATTACTGTGCTCCCATGGCAAATGGTGCCACCTTGCCACTCCTCCATACAAATGTATTGTATTACACAGCTTTCACAGAAAGCACCATATGCTCTTCAATTCTCTCCCAGTATATAAGAGTGTCTGAAGAAGGAAAAATGGTGGCGATGGGGATGGTGTGAGTACTGATGCCTGTTGAACAGTTGTCCTTACTTCCTCGTGGATGCGTTATGGCACATACTGTCCAGCAGAGGGTGCTACATGACACTAAGAGCATAACTGCAACGGGACGAGGAATTACAGCCAGACAGGGAGGCAAATGTTCTGCTCAGCAGCGCTCCCACAGGTCTGTCTAGGAATTGAGGCAATAGTTCATAAATTGAGCATAAACATCTCCATGATATATCTCAGACTGGCATATGGAGGGAAAACTGATCATATTTTGATATCCTGTGATTCCACCATTTTGGCAAGTGTTTTCTTGACTCGAAGAGCAGTGAGGCGAGAGGATGGGTTGTGGGCCCAGCACTCAGACATAAGCTTTAGCATGGCCCGTAAGCACTGTGTGGAGATGGAGACAAGAGACCAGTTGTTTTAGGGTTGTATTACACAACTATTAAATGGTTACAATGCAGTGATATTTAAAGACCCCATAAAATCAAAAGTTCTGTGGCTTTTAGCATCCATCTGTTAGCAATGAGATCAACTATACTCTTAAATGTTGACGCAATGACTTCTTATAAGCACATTTGCAATTTACAGTTATCAAAAATTAAATGGTTACAAAAGATTTCTATTTTAAATAAATGCTTGAACTGTTTGAACTTTCTATTCATCGAAGAACCCTGAAAAAAATGCATCACAGTTTCCACCAAAATATTAAACAGAGCAACTTTTTTCAACATTGACAATAATACGAATTTTCCCTTGAGCACCAAGAATGATTTCTGAAGGATCATGTAACACTTTAGACTAGAGTAATGATGCTGAAAATTCAGCTTTGCCTAAGATATAAATTACGTTTTTAAATATAATATATGATAGAAAACAGTTATTTTAAATTGTAATACTTAATGTTACTGTACTTTGGATTAAAGAAAATACCTAATTAAACATTAAATAAATAATTGTTGGATAGCAGTCTTGCTGAGCATAAGAGACTTCTTTCAAAAACATTAAAAAATCTTACAGATCCCAAACTTTTAAACAGTAGTGTATATGTCAACACAAGATCGATACAAATTAGTATCTGAGCAGTGTTGAACTGATCTGCAGTGCTTGATCTTACCTCGTCACTGTTCCAGCGATTAGACACCACTGGCCGCATGCCTTTAACACATATCACTTCCCTCATGTCCTCATAGGACGGTTCTGAAGGTACCATGTCCCAGTATGGCAACTGATACTCCTCAACAATTCCTGCACATAAAAGAAAATCCATCACATATTTATAAAGGAGAAACAAACATACTTTGAAAAGTCTGTTTACATTATTTTAACCTCAAACACTCTAACACATGCAGGCCATACCTCCTGTCACGCATCTGCGGGCCATCTCCCAAACAATGAGACCGTAGCTGTAAATATCAGCCATTATGTACGCTTGGAATTGGTTCTTATTTAGGGTCTCATCCAGGACCTCTGGTGCCATGTACCGCCGTGTTCCCATCCTTGTGCTCAGAGGGACATCCACCTCATTGGTGTCACTAAAATAAAAGCAAAACAAGTGTTCAAACTACTGCAAACAACTGCATACTAGCTGTAAATTAAGTATGCTTCTATGATACTTTTTAGTCATTGCCAGTGTGCCAGGACATTTATTTGCATGCATGTTTGAGTACCGTAAAACTTCAAATAGTAGCCCGGGCTTTTATTTTCCCAAATCGTCGAACTGCACCGGCTTGTATTTGAGACAGGCGTCTATATGAGACAGGCCTTTATAATTTAGTGTTGAGATGTTGTTCATTGAGTGTATACTGTATAGGCCTGTCTCTAATCTCTAAAAATCTCCAAATGCTCCACGTGAAACTGCGGTCTTCCGACCTTTTACTATCCCGTCAATTGATTTTGATTAATATGCGCGAGGGAGAGCGAGCAAGACAGCGCTCGTGTTGTTTGAAGACGTGAGAGTGCGCGCGCGCGGCCGGAGCGCTCTCTCTCTCTGCTCGTTACGCGCCCTGTCAGGCGCAGCAGTCATTCTACATCACTCACCGATCAAAAAAGGCTTTGGAGGGACGAAAATTTGCTTTGGCCGCCGCCAAAAAGCGGACGATCTGACGGTTTTAGAGGATTAAATACAACCCGAAAGTAAAAAACAGACCCGGCCTCTATTTGAGACCGGCCTTTATTTACCCAAACCTGCAGCCACACCTGGCGTGTAAAAGAGACAGGCGTCTATTTGGGACTCGGCTATTATTTGAAGTTTTACGGTATGTGTTGTTAGAGTGTCTTCACCTGTTGTATTTCACAGCCAGGCCCAGATCAGCAATGCAGCAGGTGCCATTCTTCTTTATGAGGATGTTTTTGCTCTTTAGGTCTCTGTGAGCGATGGCAGGTTTGCCCTGTGTGCCGTAGATCTCTGTGTGGAGGTGGCACAGGCCACAGGCTGCAGAGTAGGCCAGCCTCAGCAGAGCCTGTGTGTCCAGGGTGGTGTATTTCAGATAGTCATAGAGAGAGCCGTTCTCATGGTAGTCCGTGATGAGGAAAAGCTGAGTGAATGCCCCCGTGCCCTTAATATCTGCAGCTATAAAGCCTGGAGCAAGTCCAGAAGAAAGAGTGTGAATGTTAAAGGGTTAGTTCACACAAAAATGAAATTTCTATCAGAAAGCTCTCGGATTTCATCAAAAATAATTTAATTTGTGTTCCGAAGATGAACAAAGGCCTTTCGGGTTTGGAAAGACATGAGGGTGAGCAATTAATGACAGAATTTATATTTTTGGGTGAAATAACTTTTTTCAAATATGCTAGGTTTATATCAGTGCACAAAACTACAATTTGTGAAAAATATTAATCTACCTTAAACCAGCAAAATGTTTCATCGTCCCTTCATATTAAAATATAAATGCAATATACATGTATTTGACTCTGTACATTGATAATGATTATTATACTGGTTTTGCAATGGAAGTATCATATCAAATTATTAAAATGCAATGCTCACATACAATATGTACTGGAGTCACTACTATGTGTTTTTTGATGGAACATACCGAGTATATTCTCGTGTCTCATGAGCACAGTTTGGTAAATCTCGGTCTCTCTGAACCAACTGGCCTCTTCACGGGTAAAGAACACTTTCACCGCCACCTTTTCTCCTCTCCAGCGACCGAGCCACACTTCTCCATACCTACCCTTTCCGATTTGACGTACCATCTGAATTTGTTTAGCGATGGTGCGCTGGACCTGTGAATCGAGAGAATTGGGCAATTCAACTCAAAATATTTAATGGTTCATAACTACAAACATTTATATTGACTCAAGAAATTTCCATGACCTTTCGCAAACTTATTTAAAACGGTGTTAATTTACATAACCGTAAATCAGAGTTTTAAAAATCTCTGTTTCAATTCTTTTTTTGAAAAACATGTTCAGAAACGGTGCCTCACCAGCAGGGGGAGCCCTGAACCAGAGCCAGTGCTTGACTGACTAATAAGATCTTTGAGAGACTCTCCTACTGGGATGAAGGCCTCATCCTGCTCCAGATCTCTTTGGTACCGCCTCCGTCCCGTCTGTAGCTTATACCTGATCAAACAGCCACACAGAGTATATAATCACCTTCAACACAATGTTACATCACAGAAGCTGTTTCACAAAGGGATCAGTAACTTATTACTAAGAGCAACAGCATTTATATCCATGCATTTAGATCAAGCGCAAAAGGTGCTAAATTCCCTTGACTATCTTAAACAGGTGTGTCTGTGCCAGTGTTATCAGTATGCTGGTCAATAATTGCCAGACTGTAGTGCATATTTCATTCATTTTAGCTGGATAAACATGTCGTAATGAAATTAAAGTCTCACCTGTAGTAACACACCACAGTTATGACCACCAAAGTGAAGCAACACACTGTCACGGAGATCAGAAATGCCAGCAAGTGGGCGTTCCATAACTGAGGCTCTGGATTACAATGAGATCACAGACAACAGTTTTCATCACTGATAATAAGAAATGTTTCTTCAACACCAAATCAGCATATTACAATCATTTCTGAAGGATTTCTGTGACACTGAAGACTTAAGTAATGGCTGCTGAAAATTCAGCTTGGCAATCTCAGGAATTGCATTTTAAAACATTAAAATGAAAAACAGTTATTTAAAATTGTAATATTACAATATTACTGTTTTTACTGTATTTTTGAATGGAAGTGTATATACACACACACACATATTTATTATTTTTAGGTTCTTAAGGGACGTTCCACTTACTTCCTGGAATAGGAGGTGGAAGTGTGGGCTGAAGGTCTCTATTACAGAAATCTGTGGAACAGCACTCAATGGTCCGTCTGGGCTGAGCATTAGGAGAGTCCTGGACAACAATAACCACATTCAGTCATTCATAATGCCTCAGCACTTAAACATCTATTCTTCACTCTCCCATTATGTATTACCTTGCACTGGAAGTGGGAGCCCTCGTACTTCATGCAGCCGGAGGTGAGGATAGCCTCGCCGTGCTCATCCTCCTCTACGATAGCAAAACACTGGCCGTTCGTCCTGTGTAAACACACAAAGACCATTTAATCATAGTGTTTGTGATTTAGATGAGCAGTGGCTGTTGTGAGCAGTAGGTAAAGCACATGGTGTACTCACTCGCAGGTGTTGTTTGTGGCATCTTCGGGGCAGTGGATCGAGCAATAGCAGCTAAGGAAGCGGGCAGCATCCTCGGGGGCCACGGTGGAACCGTCCCCAGTCTGGGGTCTCTTTGGATCCGATCCGGGCTTGACCCCAGTGCCGTGAAGCATGTAATCTGGGTTCTGCCCACCTAGAACGGTTGAAATAGGGGAAATCAGATTTTTAGACAACCTAGAATGTGTCTCTAATAGCTTCATCATTATAGCTCAATATTTACACAAACATTGAGTCACATCAACCATATTATTAATGTCACTATGAAATCAAAATAGACAATCCTTTTTTAAGGAATATTGTACAATTATAAAATGTAGGTTTCTGTTTGTGACCAGTTCAAGGTACGTGCTGCAATAATCATGCCTTGAATCTGTTGATGGTATGTCATATTTGTATGTCTCAAAATGTCAATTTCTATCCACTAAACTTGCCAGAAGTCATGGTTTAAGCGGTTATTTAAAAAAATATATATTCCGGAGGTGCAGCTTTTCCACATATACATTTGTTTTTCATGTGCAAAAAAAACTTTTTTTAAATAAGTGAACCTAAAGGAACACATGAACCCTTTTAAAATACATGTCCCCTCGCAATCTTTAAATCAGAATTATATTTCCCTCCTTGCAGTGACATCTCTTCTCTGATGATGTGTAAGAAAGGGGGGAAGGAAATCCCAGCCACAAGGACACAAATCCCCTGTTATTCTCTTCGGTCTCTGCTGAATTATACTGCAGGGAATCTAGGGATCTTAGATAAATAGGTGGGAGTGAGGAAAACAGATCACCATAGACTGAGTAAAAGAGGGAGATAAGGATTTAAAACGGGGACAAAGAGAGAGAGAAACGGAGATTTCTCTGTGCTGTAACCTGATCCGTCTGAGTGTGTGAGCATTTGTCGCAGACAGACAGAGTGCATATTGCCTCAGGCACAAAGACTCATGTGTTTGGTAAGTATTGCTGTGGGTGCTTCCTCTTAGAGCCCTGCTGCTTGTTCTGCAGGTCTGGGCAGGCCTAAACCCAGTCAAAATAAGCCCACACTAAAACAGGCATGCTGCTGTTTAGTAAAACACCACATTCCACACCTAGGATCTCATTACTAGAGCTTTGCTTCAGACCCATCCCACATCTTAGACTCCTTTAGACTTGCCCTACATCTCTATCTCTAAAAATTAACATAAATATTAGATAAATGGCCAGGAGATACAAATGCAAACAAGTATAAATGGCAAACTCCATCCAGTAGGCAGATCTTACCTGCTATCAGCAAAGTTACACGACAGCAACACCTCCAGCCTTATCGGCAGGGGTGGAGACCACTAAAGTGATATACAGTCTGATAACACAGAAGCGTGGAGCCAGGACGCTTTTAAACCCTGAGAGCTGATATCAGCTGGGGGAATGAAGAGGACGTGGCACAATAATATCGGAGGAAGAGAATAAACAAACCGCTGGTTAAACATCTACAGGAGAATCACGCAATTCAGTGAATCACAATTCATAAATTCATTGTTCCTGATCAGATGTTGCTTCAATACATGTCTACACTCATATTCAGTGCAATCAATGAAGAAGCAGGTCATGTCAATAATCAGAAACTCCTAAATCTGTATTTTAAGTGCAGTCACAGCTGCATCTACGTGGACAGAAGCAATATGGAAATATGGACTATATCTGTGACAGAGAAAGTGCATAAAGGGCAGAACAGAATGGCAGAAAGTAGTGGGGTGAATCTCATGAATAAATGTACAGATCATATTACACTCCAAAATCAAACAACACACACACACACGATTTTGGATACAAATAAAATTAAAGGATTAGTTCACCTCAAAATGAAAATTTCCTGATAATTTACTCACCCCAAGTTCTCTCTTCAGTGGAAAAGAAATTAGTTTCAAAGGGCTATGAAGTGCTTCAAACGGCTCTGCACGTTCCCAGCTGAGGAATAGGGTCTTATCTAGTGAAATGATCGGTCATTTAAAAAAAAAAAAAAAAAAAATATATACTTTTTAAACACAATTGTTCGTCTTGTGCTGGTCGGCGACGGGCCAGGCATTACGTCATCACGTTGGAAACGTCACGATTTTTTTTTTTTTTTGAGTAATAATAATAATAATAAATTAAAACAAAGATGTCAGACGATTTTGAAGTTGGAGGAGAAAACGGGAGAAAATGAGCTGGAATTTTTCGGTCTTCCCTGCCTTTTTGAACCGGAGTACACAGACAAAACTTAGATAGATGACGTGACGCGTGACGTATCCAACGCGTCGCAGACCAGCACAAGACGAACAATTGTGGTTAAAAAGTACATAAATGTTGTTTTTTTAGAAAATGAATGATCATTTCACTAGATAAGACCCTATTCCTCAGCTGGGAACGTGCAGAGCCGTTTGAAGCACTTCATAGCCCTTTGAAACTGCATTGATTTGGACTTCAACATGTTGGTTGCAATTGAAGTCCATTGTGTGGAGAAAAATCCTGAAATGTTTTCCTCAAAAAACTTAATTTCTTTTCCACTGAAGAAAGAAAGACATGAACATCTTGGATGGCATTTGGGTGAGTAAATTATCAGGAAATTTTCATTTTGAGGTGAACTAATCCTTTAAGCCTTTTTGGACCTTTGAGACATTTTAATTTCCCACACAATTTCTCATCACCTTAATTTCAGTAATTTTAGTAACGCTTTAAATAATTTATTCATCTTAATGTTAATTTAAACATTTACTAATAAATTATTTAAGTCAAAAGGACCTGAGCTAATATGAACTAACAATGGACATTTTGTTTTTAATGAAATAACGTTAACAAACATTAAAAATACCAAACGTATTGCTTATTGTTAAATATATTCATATATTATAATACATGAAGTATATTTTATATAATTAATGGTTATTAAAAATCTTAATGGTCCTAAATGCAGGCTTTATTTCCTTACAGCACTTTGTAATTTCTTTCATTTTGATCGCAGGCTGAAATATGACCTGGGCATGTTTCATCATGAGATTCACCCAGGGACTAGAAATGATCTGAACGGAAAAACATCATGCTCAGGCCAGGAATGAAAGTGTGCTTGACAAAGCAGTGGCTATAATCAGTTTTATTGAGAGGGATCCTGGAACAGATGTGTCGAACACGATAAGATGTTACTCAACACCAAGTCAATTTGTGGAACATTGCTTACAAAAGAACGTGTCATGAAACATTATGTTGAATGGCCTGAAGGTGAAATGGTGAGAAGTGGGATTAGAAGGGAAAGTGAAAGACCAGATTAGGAACACAAGAGACAGGATTATAGTGTGTAAATATGAGGTTGAAGACCGGGTCGAGTGGCACGAGCTCTGGAGACTGATCAAACACTCTTGAGTCCGCTCTAGTGTGTCCTTTCTTTCTCTTTTCATGTAATACTTGTCTCCTGGTGTATGAGTCAGTCCATTCATAAGCTGCTTTCCTGCAATAGCCAGCGATATAAATCTTCTGTTTATGTGTCACAGTTCAATTTTTGCAGATGAGAAATGTTTATTTGAAGCCATGAAGTTGTCCCATGGCCCCCTCCATTTGTGCAAAATGCAAAACGCCCGGCTAAAGCTTTTGATGTAATATCTTTGATCACTTCACAGTTTAGTCCAGGCGCCGATGCTGTCACACAGGGCCCAGTGTGATAATGGAGGTGGAAACCGGTAACATAAACATGGTGGAATAGAGACAGGAAAAAGAAAGAAAGAAAATATTGCTCTGAAATCCCTGCTCTCAGCGAGAGGCCGGTAAATTGAAGAAATGCACATGGTGTAGTCAGAAACACAGGCTGCTTTTAAGAGCGACTGTAAAAGGCAGGCTAATCTGTTATGATGTGTTGAGCCCTACACGTCCTAACAGCTACAATGCGCAGATAAGCGCGAGCTAAATTCCCGCAACCACAACAGCGGCACACAAACAACCGCAGGGCTCAGGAATGTTATCTGAGCTGAAACACATAAAACAGGTTTTGAGCCAGAAGGTTTACTAAATCAGAGCAGATGGGACTTGTTGCGCTATCTCCTCTGAAGTACCTCTGAGGCACCAAGTGATTCATTGACATTATGAAGCCACTGAATACATTTGCTCTCTTTCCCCCTCTCTGCGTTTTTCCTTGGCTTGGAGAAAAGAATCTACAGAGTATCGCCGTGCTCCTACATGTGTGCTTGATTGTGGCTCGCCGTCACCGTGGAGTCTGAGGTCTGGCAGTACTCAGGCAGTAATGAGTCCTGCTGACCGCATTCTCCCAGCCTGTAGGCAGCTCAGCTCAGACTCCAGCGCCAGCCTCTTTAAGAGACACTTCGGCTCCATTTTCCATACAGTTGGCCCAAACATATACACAGGACTCTACAGTTACATGTCTAATCAGTGTAGGTGCTGTGGAGCACGCTCATGAGCCACAAGCAACAGGTGAAGCCAATCAGAAATCTCACAGTGTAGATGGGTAAAGCAGCTAGTAGTTTATCACAGTGGCCCCAAACGCATTTGTACACTTAATGCCTACTACAGACAGTGCGATTTCAGCAAGATCATTACTAAATCACAATGTACGACATGAATCTAATAAACTTGAGTGCGTCATGTATGTAGACTGTACAATGATGACACCTAATGAATCGTAGGCTACGGCACAAGTTAGTATAGAAGATTAAAGCATCATCAGCATGTGCTAGTGGTAAACAAACAGAGCAAGATGAATAGCATTTTGGCAATTGTGGTTTTTATGTGCGCTGAAAAAGAGGACTTCGCAAAAGAGGAGAGTATGGACGCGGTCATGGCTAGGTAAATGAGGCCAACTTGGCATGCCAATTTTACAAATGGATCTTGATGTAAGTTTTAGCTCCATGTCTTGTTGATCAATCCGTCATTTCATGTAGCATTTTTATTTGCTAGACAGTTAACGTAGGTTGTAGCACTAAACACTGTAAGATGATTATGCTAAATTTCTGACACAGGCATTTAATTTATCGCAGGCTATCTTTGGTCGCAAGACCGTGACAACGGCCGTATATGAACCTCTCTCACGGTACGATGTAGGACCACCGTTTAGGAGCCACGATCACAGAAGTCACTACAATTGGTCATCTTTTGTCTAGGAAAACCGTAAAATCATACAATTTGT